TGTAAAAATATAAAGATATAAATATATCAATATATAAATATATCAATATTTAAATATATATTAAAATATATAAATATATTTTTATTTATAGATTTTATATTTATATATTTATACGGATATACATTTATTTGTATATAAATATAATTTATTTGTAAGTTATTATTAAAAGATCCTAGTAGCTCAATGGTTGGAGTTTCACCTTCAACTCTAAGGTACCCGGTTCGAATCCTGACAATGACAATAAATCACCTAATAATAAGTTAAACTTCTAAAAAATATAATATAATTAAGAGATAGGAGAAATAAATATAAATAAAAACTTAAATAATTTCGGTCGCAAAATAGCGACCGAAATGAAAATCGGTCGCTAACATATTAGCGACTAGGCTTTTTGCGACTACGCATTTCGGTCGCTAACTGATTAGCGACCGATTATTGGGCATTAGCGACCGATTTTTTTGGTCGCTAAAATGCTTTTTTCTTGTAGTGGTACTTGAGAGATAAATTAAGAGAGAAAAATAGTTTCTCCTTTTAGGTTCTTTTAGAGGTGTTTTTCCTTTATTTTCAGGAAAAGATGTTATTGTTTCCTCCTTGGAGGTAGAGAGAGAAAATTTGTAATTTCTTTCATTAGTGGAATTACTAATTTTTCTATTGTCGGTATTTTTCTCATCTTTTTATTTTAGTTGTGTGTGTTTATGCTTTTATCTAATATCTAACATAATGCACCAAATCAGTGTGAATTATATGTTGAACATGACCTCAAATCTAGTGATACTTGGTCGAGTTTTTTAGGATGACTCAATAATCCATGGTGTCCCTCTACAACTAGATTAGTCGCAGGTAGTGATTGATGAAGTTGTTGATGTTGTTGCTCTAGTGCCTCTATTGAATACAAATATTCAACAAGTAGGATAGGTAAGTGACACATTTTTGACTTGACCAGGATGCTCAGTGATATTACTCTCAACACAAACAAATGTAATATATGGTGTGTTCATTCTCTTTCTTTTATATTATTATAATTTTATAAATATTTAACTATTTGTCTTATATTATTTAGAATTTTATTTATCCTATTAAACAAATTATGAGAAAACTTATTATTTAATAAGGATGTGGAAGAAGCTAAAGAAAATCAATATCTACGCATATTATCAAGTTTGAGAAAAAAACACCTGAAAATTATTAATTTAAAGATCTTATTTTAATTTTTTTTATATTTCACGTACCTATCAAAAAATTTGTGATTTTATCCATAATATATGAAATGATATAAATTTTTTAATAATTTTTTTAACCTTAATTATAAAATTTATAAATTTTATTTTTACTTTATTGATATTATTATACATTGTTTATAGTATGAAAATTATTTTTTATAATTTTGCTTTCGCGAGTCATCATAATGAATTTCTGATGCATGTGCTTACCTTATTGTTCAATTGCATATTATATAAACATTTTCTTCCTTTTTTTTAACAGAAAGAGAAGAGTTTTCACTTATGAAATTTGAATGTAATGTGTCCACTGCACACAAATAAAATAATTTAATAATAATAAAATATTAATAAAAAATTATATATATATATATATATAGTGTGTCATTATATTTTATTATATAAATAATATATATATATATATATATATATATTTAAAATAAAATTAATAAAATATTATATATGAATAGTAATAATAATAAAAATAAATATATAAAAGTATATAATTATTTAAAATTAAATATATCATAAATTTTATTCGTAATTAAACTTATCAAAGGTCTATTTAATTTTAGATTGATAATAATTTTATTTTAAAATAAAAGATGTTAAATTATATAGTTATGAATTTATTAAAATTTATTATTATAAAATATTTATAAATAATTTAAAATTGATTAATTATTCTTTAAATTAATTAATATAATTATTAATTTTATTTATATATAAAAATATTAAATGATTCTAATTTAGGCGTATTTTAATTATAATTGTTATAATTTTTATAATATATTTATTATATTTGTATATAATATGTTGAGTAATAATAAAACACATATTTTATATATAATTTATTAAAGATATTATTTTTATTTATCTTATTATCAATTATCTTTATTTTGTTATAATGTATTATATTAGTTATTATTCTATAGACTAATAATTGTTATATCTTGACTTATTGTTATCTTTTGAATATTATGTAAAGGGATTTAATCAAGAGTAAAATTTACCACATAACTCATTTTAAAATACATTACTTTATTATCTAAAAACTAACTTGAGTGTTAGAGTGTCTTTTTTAGGTGGACCTACGCGCTTTATCGGAAGAAGGAACTTCAAGTGGAGACTCAGAGATTGACCGACTGACTTTATCTTCTTGTCTTGCTGACCACCTTTAGCTTGGTAAGAACATAAAGTTTGAAAAAGATTTAACCTACTCAACTTAATATTTATAAGGATGATTGTTGTAGATGATATTAAGATAATTCACTCCAAAATTATAAAGTGTTAAAAAGTTTATGAATTTAGTAGAAAAAAGCTCTCAAATCATTGATAAGTCTTAGAAATCAATGAATGCATTCATCATGATGAAGTTTGATAGATGAGATACTATACATAAATATGTTATTGAAATTACGAGATATTGTAGTAAGACTTAAAATCATAACAATGACAATTAATGAAAACTATCTTATAGGTTTTTATTTTAAAGTCATTTCTATCTAATTATCATCTATTTCAAATAAGTTATAATACCATTACCCTATAAACTATTTAACACTTTCAGTTTTTAAGAGAATTATTTTAATACTGTTTGTAATTATCATTCTTAAAAATATTAAGATGTATTGTCCTTTATGATAACACCTTTAGGATCAATTCTCATTTCGATGTATTGTCTGATTTATAATTCTCTGTCCATAATAATTTTGTCTTTGACAAACATTTTAGTTGGTGATGCTTTGATGAGTTAAAAGAAGATAATATATAAACTACTATTAACCTCAACTCTTAAACAATATAAAACTTATAAAATCGTAACAAAACATAAAGTAAAAATTGAATTTTCTTATTATAAAATTAAGCCAATTAAAAATTATACTAATATATCATAATTCATGAGGATGAGAATTATTGCTGCATAACAAAATTTCAAACTACAATCTAGGTAGGTAAATGTTTTTTATATTTCAACACAGAATGTTAATATAATTATAACATTAATAATAATTAAAATATATACTAATTAACATAATACTTTATAATAATAAATTTTAATAATATATATATATATATATATATATATATATATATATATATATTATGAATGATTGACATGTTAATTTAAAATTAAATTAACTTTAAAATTTAGCTATTTTATGATTAATATAATTTATTATATACTTAATTCAAATAAGATATATCCTTTATAAGTTTATTCTTATTAATAATTTATCACATTTCTTTAATTTTATTTTATTTCAAACATATATCATACTATTAATTATTCATGACAATCTTTTTAATTTCATTTCAAACATACGTCATGATAAAATAGTATATCTCATTCTCTATATAAATAATTTTTTACTAGTATTTTATTAATTTATTTTTTATATACGAAGAGTGCACACATTGTATTCAATTTCATTATTCAAATTTTCATTTGTCTAATAAAAACAATAGAAAATATTATATAATGTGCAACTGAACTGTCATGTAAGCATAATTCGTTCTTACTATACAATATCAAGATTTTCCTTTACATTGGATGAAAAAAAAAAAAACAATGACACGCAACAGTACAAGTAATTACACGGTAAAACAAATCTCTTACTACAATCATGCACGGTAATATTAATTTTAAATTGAAATCTTTAAATTTTATAATTACAATTTATAAAAATTGTAAAAAAAATATCATACAAGAAGAATAGTATAAGTTCATAATAATGTTATCATACAAAACTTAAATAAACTCATTCCTTACGTTACTTACGAAAAACTCAATAATATTTTTTTTAATGTGAAATAAGTACAAATTTATTATTAAAAGTAAAAAACATTTACACGAACTAGAGTAACTTAAAAACAGACACAATATAAGGTCATGAGTGACCCTTTAGTCACGTGAATATATGTTCTAAAATTAATAAATTTATTATAATATTTGTGATAATTATGGAAGAAAATTATGCACTGTAACAATAATATATATATATATATATATATATATATATATATATTATTGTTATTAATTCAAATTCATATTTTTTTTAAATAAATTATATAAAGAGGTAGTTCTCGGTACAGAACAAAAAAAGTGCATTATATTGAAATAATATACAAATGTTCATGTTTCCGTGTCATATTTTATGATAAATGGAAATGTGTGGTATTAAAAAAAAAAGATTAAACTAAGGCAAGAGATATTCATGACAAAAGATTATTTCTTCATGTATTTTTGTAGTTTTTTTTCTCGTTCTCGTATTTATTACAAAAAGATATTATTATCATGTATTTTTCGAGTTCATCAATCTAGCACATTTGAAATACTTTTTCAACTATCAATTCCATGGAATACAAAAAAATAATATTATTTGTGTAGCAAATATGAAATATAAGGAACGAAAAACTATAGTGATATATAAAGAAAGAGCATGGCAAAAAAAAAAAATGGTAAAAAAAATGGGTGGATGTTCCTGAGGTAGGCCTATGAAAATAAAACCCAAATTAGTCCAAAGCCCATAAATGAAGATAACCTCTCTATGTATATATGAAAATATAAAAACAAGAAGGTGGTGTTATTTTGAAAAAATTGGCAAATGATCCTTGAAAAAGAAAAAAAAAAGAAAAGAAAAAAGAAGACCAATTACATCATAAGGAAATGAGTGTTTACTCAGATTGCTGTGTTTACTGTCTCCAGGTGAAACCAACCCAAAACAAGAATAAATAGTTGAGACACTAACAAACCCTCTCTCTTATTTTGCCTCTCCAAACATGGGAGGTTCCACTAACCTCCTTTCATTCTTCATTTTATGGTTAACCACTTCTTTCACCCTCTTCTCCTTCTCCACACTTTCAATCTCCACAGATACCTTAACAAAATCCCAATCCCTTCAAACCAACCAAACTCTCCTGTCCCCAAATGCAATTTTCGAGCTGGGTTTCTTTTCCTACGCCAATTCCACCTGGTACTTGGCCATATGGTACAAAGCCATCCACGACGCAGATAAAACAGTGGTGTGGGTTGCAAATCGAGACACCCCACTTCAAAATTCCATCGGCTTTCTCAAAATAGGCGATAATGGAAACCTCCTCATCGTAAACCAATCCCACCAACCCGTGTGGTCCTCCAATCACACCACACAAATAACCAACCCAGTTCTTCAGCTCTTGGATTCCGGGAACCTCATTCTTCGAGAAGCAAACGAGAATGACCCCACAAGGTTACTCTGGCAGAGCTTCGATTACCCGACAGATACCTTGTTACCCGGCATGAAACTAGGTTGGAACTTCGACACGGGCATGGAGAAACACATAACCTCGTGGAGGGTAACAAACCAAGACCCTTCAAGCGGGGATTTTTCCTTCAAGCTAGATTACAGTGGCCTCCCGGAAATATTCCTCTGGAACAAGGACCAGAGAATCTACCGAAGTGGACCTTGGAATGGCGAGAGATTCAGCGGGGTACCCGAGATGCAGCCCGTCACCGAATCCATCAAATTCACGTTCTTTGCGGATCAGCACCAAGTATACTACACATTCTCAATTGCCAACCACTCCTTGTTCTCCAGACTCTCTGTGACCTCCGTTGGGGAACTCCAACGCCTCACCTGGATACAAAGCACCCAGGTTTGGAACAAATTCTGGTACGCTCCGAAAGACCAATGCGACAACTACAAAGAGTGCGGTCCGTACGGGGTCTGTGACACGAACGCTTCACCGGTGTGTCAGTGTATGAGAGGGTTCCGCCCCAGGAACCAGCAGGCGTGGAATTTGCGAGATGGGTCTGATGGGTGTGTGAGGAGCACGGGATTGGCGTGTGGGAGTGACAGGTTTTTGCATATGCAGAACGTGAAGTTGCCCGAGACAACATCGGTGTTCGTGAACAGGAGCATGGGGCTTGTGGAGTGTGGGGATTTGTGCCAGAGGAATTGTTCGTGCACTGGTTATGCGAATATTGAGATTTCGAATGGAGGGAGTGGGTGCGTGATGTGGGTTGGGGAGCTCTTGGACGTGAGACGCTACCCTTCGGGAGGGCAAGATCTTTATGTCAGATTGGCGGCTTCTGATGTAGGTATGTTCTTTCTCAATTCTGATTCTGCACTGTCTTCTTTTGTTTGATGTTCATGTGGAAAACCTGGGCAATGCATTGGTTGTTTGAATTTGATAAAAATTGTTATTTTAGTTTTTCTTTTTTAATTTGGACCCTTGATCAGTAGAAAGTTAAACCTGCACACACATAGAAGGGAGGATTGTGACACAGGAGAAAATTTTAGACCTAGACCATATCTGTGGAACAAGAGGGATCAGGGTCCTCAACATCATTAGTTGTTTGAATGGGCATAGAGAATATTCAAATATGAAAAGACTGCAACACCTTACCTTTATAGACCATCAGCAGTTTGGCAGTACTTGTCCCTCATGTTCAAAATGAGAACCTGTTCCACCTTTACCAATATAATAATAATAATATAAAGAGAGTAACTTTTTATGAAGTAACCTAAGGTGGGTGAAATATATGATTAGATCTGTAGCAGACTTAGTAACTATTTTTAGGTGGAAAATTTAAATATTACGAAAAATTATTATCCATGAGAACATTGGCAGGTTAAGAAACAAACAAGAAAGAAAAAACTCTTTAGCAGGTTGACTTGTGTCTAATTGAAATAAAGAAGAGAGTTGTAACATTAAATTGAAAATGTATGAGTTAGTGTTTCCCTGCAATGGGAACTGACTGAGACATTGCAATGTAAGGGAGGCGAGTCTTTAGTTGTCCATAGCCTGTAGCTGCTACACGTGCTCTTCAATGTGTCCACTCCCATTGCTTTCAACTATTTTTACCTGCACCATCTTTAATTTTTTTTTTTTGTTATACTTCACATTTCAATGGAATTTAAGTAATAAAAAAATCATCTTTAATTTTTTATTTAATTTAAATTTATTTTTAATAATCACCTGTGATATTAACCATAGGTCTCCAGTCATGAGAATAATAAAGAAATTTATTTTTCTGTATCTTAATAAAAAAATGTCCTCTTTTGTTGTTGAGAAGATTAAAAAATGTATTTTTTATAATAAGGATTTGCATTTAAAATGAGGTGAGAGTCATAAATAGTGTTTTATAACTGTTTATAGGAGATGCATTGGTGGTCTGAAAATGACTGAAAATTTGAATATTCCAAATGCTTCCACAGGAAGGATATGTGGTGTGATTTTGAAGGTCTGTTGAAAGGTCTTTTATAAATTAAAATATATATTCTTTGCAAACTCTTTTATGGATTGAACAGTGCTATATTTTTACTTTTTAAATTGAAAGTACTCCCTAAATAAATACTGTCTTTTTTTATTAATATTTATTGAAATAGAAATGAAATATCATATTATCATAAAAAATAATATATATATATATATATAATTTCCACATTTTTATATTATAATATATTTAAAATGTAATTTAAATCTATATAAAATCAATGAGTTGATTTTTATTTGTGTACTTTTTATATTTTGTTTTTATAAAATTTGAAATAATTATTTTTAAAACATCTTCTTGAAACTTCAACTGAAGATCTTAAATTTAAGACTTGTAAAACTTATTTTTTATTAGAAATTCTCTTTAAAACATATAAGATTTTTTATCTTAATTTTTTTCATATAATTAGAATTGCATTAAATTAATATTTAATTATGATAATAAAATTGATTTTTGAATTGTAAAAAAATTGAAATAAAATAAAAAATATATAAAAGTATAAGTATTGTAACACCTCACAATTAAAGCAAAACTTAAAAGAGGATTTAAAAAAAAAAACAAAGATTTCATGAAAATAAAGATTCTTAGTCCTTATAATGTAAGTTTAGTTTAGTATTTATAAAATATATTTTTTATATTTCTCCGAAGTTTCAAATTGCTATTTTTAATCCTTAATATTTATTTTAAATTTAATAAGTAACATTTACTTTATAAATCTCAAAAATAAATTAGGTGTCCTATATTCATTTCATATAAAAACACTATTATACATCACTTTATCTTTGGTTTAATAAATAAACAGTTAATTATGGTAATATAATATTATAAATAAAAAATAAAAAAAATTAATTTTAGAGTAAACAAAATTAGAAGATTAAAATAAAAAACACATAAAATAAAATTATATTTGAACATAAATTATATCTATAATTTTTTCTCTCTCACTCTCTCTTATATATCTTCTATTAGATTAGATTGATAAGAGATAGATATGGCTTTTTCCTCTTTGTAACAAAAGAATTGAGAAATTGATAATGAATGGTTTTTGTTTTACTAACTTTTATTCTCACAAACCAACGGGAATGAACTACTTTTTGAGAAAAAGAGGGTTGATGACAAGAAAAATAAGTGATAAAGTGCATGATTCCACTTCACCATGCTGCACTAGCCTTAATTTGTTGCGTGTGTTAATGAAATTAAATGAATAGTTAAATAACCTAGTTAATGTTTGTGGGGCCACATAAGTGATTGCTTTTCTGAATTTAAATGTTTTAAACGTCTCTGGGGTGGCCCAACCTTTTTGACTTGTAAGTTCCATGAGGCAACACCTGTTGTTCGCTGTCCTTATTTTTTATGCTTTATGAAGAAGCAATAGTTATTAGATTCAAGTTTCTGGAATAAAATCTCTAATTTATGTCTTGAAAATAACACATGGTAGTTAGAGAAAAGGTTACAGTAAAATAATCAATAAGATTCTTCAATCAAAATTAATAAATATTCTGCATCAATATTATAATAACCTAACAAAAAATAGTATATTGTTCACAGGTGCAACAAAATGAGTTTGCATTTAATTTGTATGAAATTTGTTTTCCTATTCACTCTTATAATACTTCCATCATAATGTGACTAGTTGCAATAAAAGCATGATCACAATTGTGGTGAAGTCACATCTTATCTTATCAAGAAAAGCATAATCTTGTTGAACTTTGACAAAAGGAAAGGAGGGTTTAAGAGGGATATGGAAAAGGATAATTAACGGCGGAAGAAAAATGTTTGAATGATGTTCAGGCGGGACCAAGAAATTGTAAAGGTGGGGATTTAGTAAATAAAATGGAGCCCCACACAATTCCATGGTTGCAGCCGAAAGGGAAATTTTGATTCATTTTGGTGGAGTAGGTGTCTTCAGAAAGTTGCAGATCTTCCTCAAATGGAAAAGTCCAAATTCACAAATTCAATGATGAAAAAACAAAATTTCGATCCACTTTTTTTCTTCTTGGCCTTTTCGTGGCTGACATTTGTAATAGATTTGATATTGCAAAGGAAAAAAAAAAAAAAAGTAGAATCAGATTGAAGTTGATCGGGTTACCTTCTCTAGCTTGTTTGGAAGATATAATATTGTTAATTTGTCACATCCCTTAGTTGCATAGATTCCATGCAAGCAGCATGAGTGTGTTTCCCTTGTACTTAAAACCAATGATACCATTTCTTTTCTTTTTAAGGAGCTTATTTGTGTTTTTTCCTTTAAATTGCTTTTGTTAAATTATCAATTACTTTGTACTTGCTCAACTTAATGTTGAAAAGCTATTTCTTTATAAAACTAGAACAAATGTAAAGTGGACATCTCAAGTAAAAACACTCTTTCTCGGATGACTTAGGGGTAGAAGGTGGTTCTGGCAAGACAAGTGACACATTAAAGGATGTAGGCATTATAGTTGGTGTTGCAGCTTTTATAATATTGGCATTGGGCATCTTTATCTTGTGGAAGAAGAAGAAGAAGAAGAAGAAATTTCAACGTATATTAAAAGGGAAGTCAGAAAAAAGAGGTAATGCACAGTCAGTGTCCCCCATATTACCTCACGTTGCAACTATGCTGTGTGATATGTCATGTATTTTTGTTCCAAAACCAGGTTTTTCGGAAAGGAGTCAGGATTTGTTAATGAATGAGGGAGTGTTTTCGAGTAACAGAGAACAGTCGGGTGAAAGTAACATGGACGACCTAGAGTTGCCATTGTTTGATTTTAACACCATAACAATGGCTACAAACAACTTCTCCGAAGAAAATAAACTTGGACAAGGAGGCTTCGGTAGTGTTTACAAAGTAAGCTGTTTTTACATATGTCACCACAAATAAGTCCTTAAATTCACTTTATGAATTATGGTCCATGAAAACATAACTGGAATAAATGTGTTTATAACAGGGCTGGTTGAAGGAAGGTCAGCACATTGCTGTGAAGAGATTATCAAAAACTTCTGGCCAAGGAATTGAGGAGTTCAAGAATGAGGTCAAGTTAATTGTCAAGCTTCAACATCGAAATCTAGTTCGTTTGCTTGGTTGTAGCATTCAGATGGATGAGAAGATGCTGGTCTATGAATACATGGAAAACAGAAGCCTTGATGCCATTCTGTTTGGTGAGTTATTTCAACATTTTGATTCGTAGGGTATATTCAAATTTCGAACTTGATATTGATCATAACCATGATCCAGATAAGACAAAAAAATCCTCACTGGACTGGCAAATGCGCTTCAACATTATATGTGGAATAGCTAGAGGACTTCTATATTTGCACCAAGATTCCAGATTTAGGATAATTCATAGGGATCTCAAGGCAAGCAACATTCTACTTGACAAAGAGATGAACCCAAAGATATCAGACTTTGGGATGGCTAGAACTTTTGGCACGGATCAGACAGAAGCAAATACCACGAGAGTTGTTGGAACATAGTGAGTACTAAGTAACATTTCTCACACACACTAGTACTCTCCAAAACTACCAAACATAGTAATACTATTTACAAATATTTATATATATATATTTTGTATGCAGTGGCTACATGTCCCCTGAATATGCTATGGATGGGATCTTCTCAGTAAAATCTGATGTTTTTAGTTTTGGGGTTCTTGTGCTGGAGATCGTAAGTGGAAAAAAGAACAGAGGATTCTACTATGCAAACAAAGAATTAAATCTTCTAGGACATGTATGTGCACCAGTTGCTGTTACTCCTTTAGTAGTATGTTTGTTATTTGGTTCTGAAAACAAACAAGTGATTGTGCTTTCTCATATTGTAGGCTTGGAATGTGTGGAAAGAAGGAAATGCGTTAGAACTGAGTGATTCCTCTATTGACACTTCATATTCTGCATCTGAAGTTCATAGATGCATACAAGTGGGTCTCTTATGCGTCCAAGAGCGTGCAGAAGATAGGCCAACAATGTCTTCAGTGGTATTGATGCTGAGTAGTGATACTGCATCAATGTCACAACCCAAAAACCCTGGATTCTGTCTAGGAAGAAATCCTACGGAAATTGAATCTTCTTCGAGTAAACAAGAAGAATCATGCACTGTGAACCAAGTCACTGTCACAATTTTAGATGCCAGGTAGTTAAGAAAGTAGCCTCATCTAGCTAACACACCAGTATAGTCACAAAAATTCTTTCAAGTTCATCCCTCATTAGAGATACCTTAGTTAAATTGTACTCTATAGTGTAAGATAGTTTTCTTTCTCTAATCCTGTTACAATGCGCAATCACATGGGTTCTCCTTTTCAACATGCACTTTCAGGATCATGCCATTGTTTAAAATTGATAGTGAGCACAATTTTAATGACTATGTGTTGTTGATATAATCTTTTAATACATCAATCAATCAGAAATAATCAATGTTATGTATGATCCTTACTGTAAAAATTTTCACTAGAGTTTGTGTCTCCTAAGATTTTTTTTTAGTTATGATTCTCATTTGCTTTTTCTGACATAATTTAGGGTATTTAAAACCCATTTCCTCATATAATGCAAATTTTTTTCTTCTTATTTCTTTCTGTTGTATCAATGATTGCTGAACTGAATTCCCCGGTGCCAAATTTGGCATTGTCAATGATGCAGTTGCGATCCTAAGAACGAAATTTGATTCTTCTTACTTGAATTGGTTTTAAAATAATTGAAAGAGAATAATATTGAAGATAGAGATTTGATATTCTTTTTCTCTCCAATGGCAACTAACCCATATCCGATTCACACAATTTCTCTCACCGTGTGTATCATATGGTGGCTGTTATACATTGTGTGGGAACATTTAGAACACCTGGAGTAACTAGTTATAGCATTAGTCAAAGAAAGTGATGATCACTACCGGTGAATCACATTAGTTGATCGGGAAATTGCAATCAAGAAATAAGTTAAGAAAAGAGAAATGATTAAATATTTAGTTATTTGATAAAATAAAAATATTTGAGATTTTTTTAAGTTATATAATTTGATTAAAAATGAATTTAGATAATTCATACAGAACAATACAAACCAACCTAAGAGTAAAATAATTTTTTTTTTACTTAACCTTTTCCGTTATTGCCAAATAATAAAATTTGACTACCTCTAAAATTCGAAATAGGAGGTTGACTACCTCTAAAATTTTGAAGCAAGTCAACAATATCTCACATTAGGTTACGTTTTCTTTTAATTTCCAACATTGTAACACTTCAAGAGGAAATAAGGTTTGTCTCAAACCAATGCAAACTAATAATCCATTTGACGGAGATTACTCACGACTAAACTATACGAGGTATTTACCTAAGTCTAATTACGCGTGGATACGTTGGCCCTAACTTCAATTTTACTTTTGGATTATTACTATGTTATGTGCTAAATACATGATGTATTAGGAAATTTCACTTCACTCATCTTACTTTATCATATATTTCTAGAATCAATAATAATAAATTATTTTATCAACTGTCATTATAGAATTAGTTTAAAGAAACTTATTTTCTCTCCCATTCTTCTAATTTGTTTTCTGTAATAAAGTAATTATAATAAATATTTAAGCAAATTATCATATCACATAAATTTTTTTATAAAAAAAATTTAAAATAACTAATATTTTATTTAAACATTTTACTAAACAATTATTATAAAAAATATAATTTAAGTTAAAAATTAATAACAAAAGAAATACATAATATATATATAAATAAAAGAGAATAAGAGTAACTCAGAGATAAATAATTGAAATCGTAATTATTGCATGGAAGAAAAAGAAGTTAAGTTTCTAGCATTTAGTCAGTGTAAGGAGAATAGAAAATGTTAATGAGTTCTTTAATGTTATAAGGGGGAAACAATGATTGGTTGAGTATACAACAATGGTCCAGCGAAACATACACATAATCTATAATAGGTGAAGATAAGAACCTTTCAACAAAACATTCACAATTTATTTTTCAGAGACAATTTCTGAATTAAAAAAAAAACACACTATGTCTGTATTTAATTGAGATTTTATTGTTTTTATAAAGAAATATATATGCAAATTATAAAGGATGATGTAAAAATATTTGATTTTTTAACACTTCTATAATTAGGACTTTTGTATGTTAGATTTTAAAAGATTTATAAAATATGGAATTCTAAGATTGGTATTTTTTTTTTTTATAAATTTACAAGAATTTAAAGGATTTTATGTATTTAATGGAATTCTAAGAATTTAAAGGAATATATAATGTTATGTATTTTTTATTTTACGTGAAATACATATTTATCTTATTATCTAAAATTATGTACATTAAATTATATTTAAAGTAATATGTCTATATTAAAGTAATTAATTGAAAAAAAATATTTAAATAAAATAAAAAAATAAATATTTAAAAAATTTAAATTATATTAATAAAATTAATTTTTATTTAAGATATAATTATTTAATATACTAATTATAAAATAATAAATTCATTCAATCTTAAAATAAAAATTAAAATTTTACTCTTCATTATTATCATTAATATTTTTATTTAAAAAATTATTACTATTTTATAAAATGGATTCGCTCTAAGTAATAGTCTAAATTATATTGAGATAGGTTATAACCTAATAAGATAAAGCTAAAATATATATAACTCAATTTAAATTACAAATTTTGTGGTCTGGTATTATCTGACCTTTTAATATTATTGATCAGCCCATCTTATCCAAAACCTTTATATTTAGAGATTAACTGGTATTTGATTTTATAAGATACAATAATAGAAAAATACTTCAAATTTTAGATATATGTGATCTCCAGTACTTTTATCTTATTTAACTTTGTTATTTTGTCATTTATATTCATAATGGGATTTCACCTCTAGTTTAAATTCTAACCATTTTTTCCTCAAATACAAATCAATTTCACATTATACAATTATATGTATTGTGTCCAAATTATGGATTTATACGTTAAAGGAAGAAGTGAAATTTTTTCTAAAAGATTCGGTAAGGTTCGACGAAAATAAGATTTTTAATGGTAAATAATCTTTTGTTGGAACATCTTAGGTCTTCCAATGTCTCTTATATGGATTTTAATAAAGTTTTTCTTATATTGTAGTAGATTTTTCATAATATTAGTGTTAGTGTAAATAATATTAGTGTTTTAAATTGGTTAAATTTAAATAATTTTTGAAACAAGTGTGAGATATAACTATTTTGTTAATAAGAATGATTGATGAATTTTCTTGCATTAAATGCGCATTAATAAGATATCTTTCAAAATACTCTAGTTTTATATACTCCTATATATTTTTTTCTGAGTTTTAGTTTCGTCCTTCGTTACTTTTTTTTTTTAATGCGTACATCAAAACCTTTATGAAAAAAAAAAAAGTTAATGGTTGAGTGAGTACAATCGCGTATCCTAAGATATATCAATATATTATTACATAGAAATGCAGAATGACGAGAAAAGTGACAACACAAAACAACAGGAATGATTCTAATAAACTATTAAATATATATTTTTAAAACCCAATACGTCACATGTCTTGGTGCAATTGGTCCTGCAAACAAGGCAATCTTACCCTATGCACCAGTTATTTGAAGGGTGAAAAGAGTGACGTTTTGGGTACGGCCTTTGTTGCCTGTGCATTCAGCAGCCTCCACAACAATCCAAAGACAAGCTTCACACAAGGAATGAATGTTCCCAAGTATGGTAGTCCTATATCCAAGTAAAAGTCTTGTGTAGTTGTGCGTGTTCATGACTCTGCTAGAGAAAGATTAGTTTAGTGAGTACGATCACATTTGGTTTGACAGCAGCACTGATCTACAAGTACAAAGTAGTATTTTTCCTCATAATATGCAAGAATGGTCATGAAAGAGGAACTCCATGCACTCAGCTGAAAGTCTTCCAAGCTTTGTCATGTGCCAATACCATGAATGTAACGTCTACCTGCTATGCTCTTTGATTCTACTCCTCAGCTTCTCATTTTGCTCTTGTTCTGATACCATATTTGGTGACAAAGGCATCAGAGATGGAGAGCTTCTTGTTTCTAAATCCCAAACATTTGCTCTTGGATTCTTCACTCCAGGCAAGTCCAACTTCCGTTATGTGGGAATATGGTACAACAATGTGCAAGAACAAACTGTTGCTTGGGTTGCAAACAGAAACACTCCCATGAATGACACTTCTGGGGTTCTCTCAATCAACCCAGATGGAAACCTAGTACTCCAACACAAATATAGCACCGTTCCCGTTTGGTCGACCAACATTTCAACCACCCAATTAAACAGCACCGAAGTCATGGCTAAACTCACAGACATAGGTAACCTTGTTCTGATTCTAAACAACACCAAAACTGTCGTCTGGCAGAGCTTTGACCATCCCACGGATACCTTGCTTCCAGATCTAAGAGTTGGTTTTGACAGAAGAACAAACCAGAGTTGGTTCCTCCAATCCTGGAAGACAGATGATGACCCGGGAACAGGTTCTTACACCTTGAAAATAAGTAGCAGTGGACAACCACAGATGGTCTTTTACAACAAGAACCTTCCCTTTTGGCGAGGCGGATCGTGGAACGGTGAATTGTTTATGGGTGTACCCGACATGAAGAGAGATATGTATACTTTTAACGTTTCTTTTATAGAAGATGACAACCACGTACTACTATCATATAACATGGTTGATAAGTCCTTGATCTCTAGGGTAGTAGTTCAACCATCTGGTTTCTTTCAAGTATTCACCTGGGATAACCAAAATAGTCAATGGAATAGGTACTGGTCTGAACCAACAAATCAATGTGATAACTATGGAACCTGTGGATCAAACGGTAATTGTGACCCTTTAAACTTTGAGGAATTTCGGTGTACTTGTCTGCCTGGGTTTGAACCCAAATACCCAGATGATTGGTATAAAAACAGAGATGGGTCCGGAGGGTGCGTGAGGAAGCATCGTGCATCCATTTGTGGCGATGGGGAAGGGTTTGTCAAACTTGAAGGCTTGAAGCTTCCTGATACCTCTGAGGCAACTGCCATAAAGGGTTGGAGTTTGGATGAATGTCAGGGGGATTGCTTGAGAAATTGCTCTTGCACTGCATATGCCGTTCTTGATGTGAGGAATGGTGGAAGTGGGTGCTTGGCATGGCATGGGAATTTAGTAGACATACAAAAACTGAGTGATCAAGGCCAAGATTTATTTGTCCGTGTTGATGCAGTTGAACTAGGTACTCCCTCCTACTATGTTTTTCTTCATGAAATTAACCCCATGTATATACTTTAGGATTCTGCTTCAACCTAGTTGAACTTTTGTCTTCTTGTCAGCAAATTATAACAAGAAAACAAAAGGGGTACTCGGCAAAAAGAGGATGGTTGCAATTCTGATTGCTTCAGCACTTACAAGTGTCATTCTTTTCTCCTGTGTGTATTACCTGTGGAAGAGGAAAAGCAAAGGTATGTCATTTACTATCAAGGATGCTATCACACAACACTCCAAAATGTAAATTATAAGGTAAAATGACAAGTTTTAAATTTATGTACCGTCACTGTTAAGATCTCTACACTAAACTAAATAGAAATTAGACTTCACAGCCTTTGATTGAATGACAATGTATGTATGTGTATTAAAAACCGGGATTCAATCCTTTTGGCGTCAAGTGTGTTTTATTAGAATGAATATGATTTAAACCGTTATAGGAAATTCACCAATTCCAGCATGGCCTTTCTAGAGAAGTCACTTCCCTGTTTTATTACCTCAGTAATGATATCCCTTGTTCTTTATGATTCACTTCCCTGTCATTACTATATGCATGAAAATTTGTATATTTATCACTTTCTTTGGGTTTAGACATTCTTTTGTTGTTGTTTTGACTTATTGTATGAACTGCGTACTATGGTAAGTTAGTAAGCCTATTTATTTAAAATAAATAAGAGGGATCCTTACATTTGAAACGCTAGCTAAATCTAGACTTATGGATGCGTCAACATGTATAATTTATAGCCCATCCACTTATTTTCCCTCTGAAAAAGAAGACAAAATTTAGAACTTGTTTTCCCTTATTTCAAATAAAGGGAATAATTTGTAGAAATGGCACAAAAAATGTAAGAGGAGCTTATTCTTTGATGTCGTGCATTTATAATTTCAGATAAACTGATGCAACATTTAAAATTTTCCCCTGGAGACGACAACGATATCCAAAGCAACACACATCCAAATCTTCCCTTTTTCAGCCTTAAAGTGATAATGGAAGCCACAAGAAATTTTGGTGATGAAAATAAGCTTGGGCAAGGTGGATTTGGTTCTGTCTATAAGGTAACTCAAACTCTTCCATGCGCGAGCAACTGTTACGACTAGTGTCTTTCATGTCTTTACTTTTCATTCAACAGAACTGTAGGAAAATTATGAAAAAAATAGTGAAATGGGGTTTAAGAGTTATAAATATTTCAGGGATGTCTAGTCAATGGACAAGAGATAGCAGTGAAAAGATTGTCCGAACATTCAGGTCAAGGGACAGAAGAATTTAAAACTGAAGTTACATTGTTAGTTAAACTTCAACACAGAAATCTGGTGAGGCTTCTCGGTTGTTGCTTTGAAAAAGAAGAAAGGATGTTAGTTTATGAATACCTACCAAATAAAAGCTTGGACTTCTTCATATTTGGTATGTCTTTCTATACTCACACTCATTGTCTTCCCAACCTGCACATAGAAATTTGCACTAAGATTAGCATAAATATGTGCATCTGAATAGAGGACAGAAATTTTGAAAAGGAATTTTTCCTTCCCTATTTGTCAGAAATGGAAAAATGATAGACTCCTCGAGGGAAAGAAACCTCAATTATTTGAAGTTTTTTTACAGATTGTGTTAGAAGAACCACTTATATAAGCCAGTCTCTTTTAATATAGTGCTGGCAAGCAAGATTTTTCCACCACTCCAGCACCAAAGCTTTGCACAGAACAGTTCATAGATCCCCTGACTAAACCCACTGGAACAAATCAAAGAAAATTTTATACTCCCGTTTCATTGCATTTTTTTTATAAATATCTGAGAACTTTAACTATTAAATTCAGATGAAAACCGAAGGTCATCATTGACTTGGGATAAGCGCTTTGAGATCATTTTGGGGATCGCTCGAGGTGTTTTATATCTTCATCAAGATTCAAGGCTGAAAATAATTCATAGAGATCTAAAAGCCAGCAATGTACTCCTTGATGCTGCAATGAATCCCAAAATCTCAGATTTTGGTATGGCTAGAATATTTGGAGAAGATCAAATCCAAGCAAGGACGACAAGAGTGGTTGGAACATAGTAGGTGTTATATTCATGTGAACCTTGGACTGTGTATTATTTATAATGTTCTAACCGTTTTCCATTATGCAGTGGTTATATGTCACCAGAATATGCCATGGATGGACGTTATTCAACAAAATCTGATGTCTTTAGTTTTGGGGTCTTACTCCTAGAAATTATTGCTGGCAAGAGGAATACAGATTGTGAAAAAGGAAGAGCCTCCCCAAATTTGATTGGACACGTAAGTTGAGATAGAAAAATCATTAAAACTGGCCAACAAATTATTGTGTTATCGCTCATTAATTTAAAGATTATTTTATATATTTGTAGGTGTGGATACTTTGGACAGAAGGAAAAGCCTTGGAATTAGTTGATTCAACACTGCGTCAGTCTTATCCTCCTGCTCTTGTTCTGAGGTGCATTCAAATTGGTCTATTGTGCGTGCAAGAAAATGCAATGAATAGACCTTCCTTGTCAGAAGTTGTTTTCATGCTAGGCAATGAAACACCTCTCTCTCCACCCCAAAAGCCAGCATTTTTATTCAATAGAGACAAAGATTTGCCTGAGTCATCAACATCAGGTGGAGGATCTTCAATAAATGAAGTAACAGCAACTACCATCAGCGCTCGCTAGCTAAAAATTACCTCAGTTGTTTAATGTGTATAGCATTTTGTCAATAAGGTCTAGTAAAATAAATAAAATGGAATTTTGTGCATTGATGTCCATTGTATTTGTGGTGGCGTGGAGGTTCTGAAAAAAATAACAGACCTAGAAACCATGTATTTATTGATGATAATCAATTTTCAAGCTTTGTAATTCGCAGGTTAATCCAAGTGAACCATAATGTGATAGGTTTTACTCTTTCATTGAAAGGATATGATGTTAACCATCGTACATACAACATTCATTTTCCTCTTCTTTTTCAAGGCGTTGCATGGTAGCTTTATGACAGTCTACAACTACAGTTTAGCTTCATATTAATTTCTACTCTTTTTTATTTTTTGAAGTGAAAGAAAAAATAAAGAAGTATCAGTCATCAAGTTTAGAGCAGTGTAGTTATTCAACAAGTAAAATGTGGGGGGAAATTCGCTCCCTTATTACCCTTAATTTTTACATCGTCATTCTAAATTGGATAATATGTACATATACAATATTTTGGCAAACCTTATTATTCTATTCATATGACACAAGCATCACATAATAGAAGTTTTTCCACATACAATTCCAAGAACCTTGGCCTTCAGCGCGCTTCAATCATGGTTATACTTACATCATTTACTGAATAAATTCCTTCACTGGTTGATGGATTTGAACTCTCACAATTAGTTTTCTTGAAAATAAATGCGGGTTGTTTTGGAGCAGGAATAGTCGAGTCATTACCCAGCATGAAAACAACAGCTGACATAGATGGTCTGTCAGCGGCATAATCTTGCACGCATAAAAGACCAATTTGGATGCATCTTTGGACTTCAAGGTCACAGCACGACTCTCCCAATGATTGATCAACAATCTCCATGGTTCTCCCTTCTCTCCATAGATCCCATATCTACGTTAATTGAAACTTACCAGGTCAATTGAACTATTGAAGGGTATATTTAAATTGTAGCAAAGTTCACATAAAAATACTAACATGTCCAACTAAATTTGTGGCTGTAATATCTTCATATTGACCACTATTCTTTCTGCCTGTAATGATCTCTAGAAGTAAAACTCCGAAGCTGTATACATCAGACTTTATTGAAAATTGTCCTTCCATGGCATATTCTGGTGACATATAGCCACTGCAGAAGAAAAACAAAATGAAATCATTATAATCATAATTTTAGTAATCATGTCAAATTAGGAGAGTGGTACATTCAACGAGTGAACTATTTACTTATGCAGTGTCTGAGTAAAATATAATGCAATGAAACTTATTAATGTTGTTGTGTGTGTGTGAGTTGTTGAGTCCTTACTAGGTTCCAACAACACGATTTGTGTTTGCTTCAATTTGGTTTCCAGCAAATATTCGAGCCATACCAAAATCTGCAATTTTGGGGTTCAGTACAGAGTCCAGCAAGACGTTGCTGGCTTTTAGGTCTCTATGAATGATTCTCAATCGTGAATCTTGATGAAGGTATAAGATTCCTCTAGCAATCCCACAGATGATATCAAATCGCTTTTTCCAGTCTAGTTGTGACCTTTTCAATTCATCTGGACCAACATTCAAGGTATCAAGAGTGAAACATGTTGGATTGTTTGTTCTGATATTTTATGAATGAATATTTCACTATAAATGGTTAGGTATGGACATGGCTACGTCCAAAGTGAGAGCTCATGTACTAAGCAGCAAAGATGAAAACAAGACATACCAAAAATTAAAGAGTCCAAACTCTTATTAGGCAAATACTCATAGATTAACATCTTCTCCTCTCCTTGAATGCAGCAACCTAAGATCCTCACCAGATTTCTGTGTTGGAGCTTTGAGATCAAAACCACCTCATTTTTAAACTCTTCTATGCCTTGTCCAGAGTACTTTGACAGTCTCTTCACTGCTATTTCCATTCCATTACTCAGTAGACCCTGAAGTCATCATCCAAGATATATGTGTAACGTGACATGCACACTAGGCATTAAAAAGTGCAAGTGGTGCGGACTTTGGGACTTGTTAAAGAAGAATGGCTACCTTATAAACAGAACCAAAACCTCCTTGGCCAAGCTTGTTAGAATCAGAAAAATTGTCTGTGGCAGCAGCTATGGAGCTAAGATCAAAGAACGGTAAATCTGAATTCTTTTTAATGCTAAATTCTTGTAGATCAGTAGAGTCCTCCAAGCTAAGACGAAAGGAATACTTGCGATTCCTTTTTAAGCCTTATCATCAAACAAGAAAAGAAATACATTTGAGAACGTTATTCATTTAGAATTGAGAACCCCAAGCTTGGTTAAACTTACCTCTTTTCCTGGCTTTAACAAACCAATTCACGAAAGTGACTACCAAAAACAATAACATGAAAACAGCAGCGATTAAAATTGCCACCATCCACTTCATTCCAAGAGAACCGTGAGGATGTTTTGCATATTTAGCTGCAAAATCCAAGTGTAAAGACATTATAAGCAGAAGAAATTATGACAAACTTATATCAACTATATACTGCTAAAAGCTCCAGAAAAAGCCAGTTCAAAAACAAACAAATAACAGGCTCTTGTGTATACACCTGATTTATAACATTATATCATTATAAAGTTTAATATTCATTCTTAAAATTATTTAGTTATATTTTTATTTTATAACATGTAACTTGAAAGATATTGTATTAAATAAAATAAATTGCTCAAAGTACAAAGACTTTGTGTCAAATGTTATAAATTTAAATCATTTTTAACAAATATATTATAAGTTTTTAAAATCAAATTTTCCTCCTCATCTAGTTATTTAGTCAATATTAATTATTTCAGTTTGCTCATAGATTTTTTTTCACTTAGTATTAAGTAGTATAATAATACATTTAAAAATGTTCAGTAAAATAATGTTTCATTGATTAAACTATATTTTAAATAAAATTTGGAATATGTATATTTTATTAACAATAAAATAATTCTCTGTTAAATAAAAAAAAAATGGGAATGTACCTAATTCAAGAGCATCCACTCGCACGAACAAATTTTGTCCTAGTTGCGTGTACGTCCTCGTGTCCTCCATGTCACCGTGCCAAGTAACACATCCACTCTCCGAGCTCTCGTTCGCACTAGTGTACGCCGCACACGTGCAATCCTTCAAGCATCTCTCCCTGCACTCTCTAATCCCAATCATCGCCACCACACGCGCCTTCGACGTGTCCGGAACCTTCACACGTTCCACCTCCACGAACCCCTCTCCGCTTCCACACGTCGACACATTTCTCTTCCGCACGCACCCACCCGACCCGTCTCGAAGAAACCACTCCCTCTCGGACCTGGGTTCGAACCCGGGCAAACACTCGCACTCGAACTTATCAGCGTGATACGGGTCGCAGTTCGCGTTCGACCCGCACCGCCTGAAGTTATCGCACTCCTCCTTTGGCGCGTCCCATATCGAAAACCACTTGCGCTCGTGACCCTGCCACGTGGACCTCGTCACGTGCCCCGCCTCCTCCAACACCATTCTCGAGAACACTGTCGGGTCCTTCACTCCGTACACTATCGAAACCTCGTTCTCGTCGTTCACGTAACTAACGTTGAAAATAAAATTCGGAGTCATCTCGGGCACCCCGCTCCATCTCTGACCCGTCCACGACCCGACCCTCCACAACGGAGCATCACCTTTGTACAGAAACAGTTGCGGAAACCCGGTTGGGTCGATTTTATACGTCACGTTCCCGGTTCCAGGGTCGTTTCCTGATTTCCACGATGTTAAGAACCGGTCCAGACCGGTTTTGCGGTCCAACCCGAGTTTCATGAATGGAAGCAAAGTATTACTAGGATGATCAAAACTCTGCCAGCGAGCTATATTTATGTCGGTTTGAACCAAAACTAGGTTTCCCGTGTCCAAAAGCTTGGCCAAAACGTTCGTTGATGCGACGGAAGCGTTTGAAGACCAAACGGGGTTGAGGTTTCGGGTTTTATTATCGTGGAGTACGATGTTTCCGTGGTTGTTGATAGAGAGAACACCGGAAGTGTCGTTAAGAGGAGTGTCTCTGTTGGCAACCCACACAACCGTTTGTTCCGAGATTTTGTTGTACCATATCCCAACGTATCGGCTGGTGGAGTTTCGCGGGCTGAAAAAACCGAGTGCAAAGTTTCCTAACCCGTCGGAGACCAAAACGTCGCCATCTTTGATGGGGTGGTTTGTGGTTATGGTGTTGTCCAGTGAATGGCAACAAGTGTAGAGAAGCGTCAGCAGAAGAAATGGACTGAGAAACTCTTTAGCTGAAAGCAGCTTAATGATCATGGTGTTGTAGTTCAATGTCGGTGTTTGAAGTGAGCATCCATCTGAACAAAGCTTATTATATAAATGATTGGGGGAGTTCTTGAATCGGTATTTATGATGGTGCTGATATTTTTTCGTGAAGATTGATATGCATGAGTTGTTCTAGTCAGGTTCGTGCATGTAAAGAGAGTGTGATTGAGACACACAACTAGATTTCAATTATCGGTGGTTGCTTTACATTAAATAGTTTGGTTTGTCCTGTGGCTCAGAACCTCAGAGGACATTTACACAGTTGCTTTGGCCAAGTCCATTTCAGAACCAGATCTATATTTTATGTTCATGCATTAATAATTATGTGCTATCTAAATACACATTCATAATCTGATACACAGTGCATTAATAATTACGTTTTTAAGAAATATTATAATTTTAAAAAAATTTAAAATATTATATCTTTTTAAAAATGATATTTAAAAAAATAAAAAATATAATTATCAAAATTGATTAGACTCAAATATCTAATGAAAAATCAATTTTAAAATAATTTTTTTATTAGACCAGTCCCCGCATTGATAACGTGACTTAAAACCATGCTACCGGTGTTGAATCGTGGTTTATTTACGTAAAATATATCATTTTTTTTTGTTGAATCGTGTTATTTTACGTGACATAGATAATTTTTTTTAATTCATTAAAATGAATATATTTTAAAGAACGTATAGATTTGAATAAGTCGTATCAAGAATCAGGACTTCAAAATATAAGAAATTATGTTATAATACGATATTTGAATCATTTTTTTGTTGTTGTCATCTTATGGTCAACCTGTCATGTCATAGTGTTTTGGCGGGTGATACATAAAAATAATTTATTTAATTATGTGGACCCTATTTACACTCGTATCAATTTTTTATTTCAATTTCTATATTTACAATTTTACATTTGATTTCTATACGAACAATAAAATACTTGTATAGCAACTAAAAGGTAACGTTTTTAAGTACAAGTGAATAAAAAACTTGGCATAGATATAGTTAAATAAAGCAAAATCAATAAACAGGTAAACTAAGTTTATGAAGTGTGGGAAAATTCAATCCAATTGATCTTATTCAGATTTGGTGATGAATAACAACGTGTGTCAGAATACTTTGTCAAGTGGTATTATGAGTATGCACCTTCATTTAAAAAGATGTAGAAAATCATGAGTACGATTTAAATAGTACTTATCTAATGTACTACTCGCCGTGAGATCCCCGACGCTTTTTATATACACCAGAGAAATGTAAATAATAGAATGAAATATTGATTTCAACAGTATCATTTATTTTAAAAAAATAATTTTTTTTCTACAATTTTAGTATCATCAAATAACCAAAACCTTCAGTCTTAATAGAAATACTATTCTTGAAACTTTCACATACAATTCCTCATCGATAATCACAGCAAGTGATATATCAAAAGGAGATGATGATAGAACTTTAAAAGAAGCAAATTCAAATTCAAATTCAAATAATAATAATAATAATAATAATAATTATGTTCAACATCTTCCCACAAAAATGCGGTTTAAGATAATTTATATATCATTTTTTTTAATCTGTCTCTTAAATATAAAATTATGATGAGTTAACGTTCTAAAGCTAATACTAATTTATATAATAATTAACTTTAAAATATTATTATAATTAATATGAAGCTAGATTCTCATTTCTAGATGATATAATAATATTTATTAGTATTTCTATCACATGGGTGATAATAATTGTATCAATGTTTATCATTTTTCTTTTTAAAACATAAAAATAATATAATATATAATAAAATATAAAACTTAATATGTTAATATTTATTTATTTTATAGGATTTTTAAATTTTTTTCAAAATTAGAATATCTATATTTATTCTTTACTCATTATAATATAAATGTTAAAATAAGTTTAGGTCGATGGATTATGACAAAGGTGTTAAAATATGTTTAGTTTGATGGAGAGACCTAAAATACTCGAGGTTATGTCAAAAAAATTTATGATCTAAATTAAATCAAACCTATTTTGAGTCATTTATTTAAGTCATGATCCACATCAATTTAGATCAAGTTTATAAGTTGATGGACCAATTTGTTTTATAAAATAATTATTATTTTTAAAATAAAAATAAAACTAATATTATTTTATTATATATATATATATACATACGTGTTGACAACTTTAATGATCAATTACGTTTAAGTGTGTATGATTTATCCAGTAGAACTTTTCATTCAATTATTTCTTAATTTTAATTTTAAATTGATAAACATGTTAAAATGGATGGTGATAATTTTCAAATAAAAACTCATTCTTCTTTATGACGATTAAATTTTAAATTGTGATAATAAATATTTTTTATGTTGATTTGATCTTTATGATTGTTAAATTTTAAATTGTGATATTAAATGTTTTTTATGTTGATTTGATCTTAAATTGTTATAGTAAATGATTTTGTAAATTTTAGATTTGTACACATGTAGTTTTAAAATTGAATTTTTATAATAAATAATTTTTAAGAAAGTATACAAATTTAAAATTTATAAATTCGTTTTGCATTTTTTATTTTATCGTCTCTTCGTCATTTTCATTAATTTTTATTTTTTTCGTACCTTTATCAGTATCTTGTGTAATCTTACTTATTCCTCACACTTAATAAACATAATATTTGAAAGTATTGTTTTTTTTATTAATTTATATTTTGTAGTTTGGTCTAATAAAATATACTATAATTTATGGTATATCATGATTTTTATTGTGATTTTTTTATTATGTATATTTAGTCATTCAAAGTAATTGTTTTCTATATTTTATAATTAATTATTTTTTTATAATGGTGTTAATATATAATTTCTAAAATTTATTATTATATTAAAATTGATGTAAGAATTTTTACGATTATTATATTAAAAATTGACATATAATAAATATTTATTGGATTATTTAATAACTAGAACAGAAAATTAATTGAATCTTATATGGATTATATTTATAAAAAATATAAAATAATTATCATAAAAATATTTTAGTGTATTATTATATAAAAAGTAATTTTCAGGATATTATTACTCATATTTTAAATAGTTTAATATAAAAATTTAAAATTTAATTTATAATTCGTTGGATTTTAAAAACTTACATTATAAGGTTGAAAATATAATGAATAATTTGATGGTTCAAATTATCCTTATAAAAAGTCAATAGAAATTAAAATTTAGGTGAGACTATTGAATGCGTCAAATTATTTAAATTATTTGTTTTTTTTAGAATTTTGTTTTACTTTAAGCTCTTTTTTTTAAGTAAATAAATTACTAAGTCTATAAACTTGGACATTTTATTTTTGTGAAAACACATTTCGGTGAACTATTGTTTCTTGTTACCAAAATAATTTCTTAAATCTTTTTCTGTTAAAGTAACCTTTGGTATTTAGAGTCAAGTTGTTATAAGAAGTAGCATATTTCACCCATGACCACACAGTAACATCATGCAATTTATAATTCTAAAATTGAATGAGCATTATGAACATTGGACATTGTTCATTAAAAACTTCCTAAGATCAAAGGAGTATTGGAATCTTATAGATATAGGGCTTCCCCACATGCAGTTGGGGTCGTATTGATAGAGAATGAGAAAAAAACATTGGAGAACTTCAAGTTGAAAGATTTTAAAGGTAAAAAATTATCTATTTTAAGCAATTGATCGAGTAGTGCTTGAGATAATTCTGAAGAGGGAAACATCAAAGGAAATCTAGGACTTTTTGGAACAGAAATATCAGGGCACTGTTGATGTGAACATGACCTATGATAAGAGCTAGAACAAGAGAAGCAAATGAAGCTCTTCAACAAGTATTGTTGGTTGACCAAATTGTGTTTTGGATTAATCAATTAATGAGTTTTAGTTTAGTTTTATTGCAAGTTGTAATAAGGGACCAATTGGAAATTTAGTTATCAGTCTTTGGGAGACCAAGAGGGTGCATAGCTGATTGACTTTTGGATGTCACAATTTCAATTACAATCAATCATTAAGTAGTTTTCAATTCCTAGGTTAATAAATCATTATTAGCATTTATTTTCCTTTAATGAATATTTGTAACTCTGATGACAAAACTTCTTTATAAGCTGAACCATTTTTATCAGAAATAACAAGTTGAATTTTATTCAGAAATATTAGAGTTTATCTCTTTTATCTTAGTGAGAGTGATTCTTCTAAATTCTTGAGTAATTCAAGAACCATTGGCTGTATCAAAGGACTTTCACATCCTTTGTGTGTTGCTTCCCTTGGGAAGTGTGATTCTTTCCTTCCACCTTCTTTCTAATTCCTAAATTTCTTACAAGGTTCTAACCCTAAAGATCCTAAATTAGCCCTTGTGTAATTGAGATTCATATCAACTGTTAAAGTGCACAACTTCAAGTCTTATGTCATGACTGGAAAATCTTGCAAATGAAGAAGAGCGAATTCGTAAATGAGTATTTTCAAACACTCATAATCACAAATAGGATGAGAATGTATGGAGAACAGGTGTCTGATCTTAGCATCATTAAAAAGATTTTTCGTTCAATGAACTCCAAGTATGATTATATAGTATGTTCTATTGAAGAATCTCATGACTTAGATTCCATGATTATACATGAGCTGCAAAGTAACATGTTAGTGCACAAGTAGTGAATGAATCCACAGTTCGCATGAAGGGCAGGTGCTGAAGGGCAGGTGTTGAAGGTTACACACTATGAGACTAATGGTGAGCATGGTCGCAGAAAAAGTGATTCTCGAGGTGGATCTACAAGTGGAAGAGGTAGAGGAAGAAGACAACTAGTTGACAAGATAACAATAGAGGGTTATTATTGACATAATTTTAAACATTTCCTATATAAATGTCTAAAGAAACTACAAGACAACAAAGCAAATTATGTTAAGTCTGGCGAGGAAACAGTGTTGCTCATGGCACAACTTATTTCAAATAAAGAATCAAGTGCACAAGACATGTAGTTCATTGAT